TACATGCACCATCCAATCATCCATACATACGTACATACCTATACCACCGACCTACACCTACCTACCTACCTACCTACCTACCTACCTACCTACCTACCTACCTACCTACCTACCTACCTGCAGACATACCTACATGCTCACACACATACACTCATCCTGAGCTTCACACCGACGTGCAAGCTGCAAGCTCTAACATGTCCAAACCCCTTTACATCATCACGCGGCCAAAAGCCGGCAAACGCCAGGCCTGTGTATGCTCTTTGCCTGCACCGGCCAGAGGTTTAGGACTCTCTTACACTTAAAAATTTTAAGGCTCAGTAGCCAGTGTTCAGGCCCTAGAAAGCAGGAGTTAGGGTCTTACATTGCTGGCAAGTATACCTTAGAGCCCTCGACCCCACACCAGTCGCACAGAGTTCCGGGTCTCTTTTGGCTGAGGTGTTCCCCAAGGTCGCGCGAGACATGGGTGCTTCCGTCGGAAGCTCTTCGGCTGCCTTCTCAGGCCGAGAATAATTATCGGGTTTGCCCTATAGTCAGGGTTTAGGGTTTACGGTTTAGGGTTTAGGGTTTGGGGGTTTCGGGGTTTGGGGTTTAGGGTAGGGGAGCAGTCTCCATTGTAGTTCCTTTTTTTGTTTAACCAAATGTATATTAAGGATTTTACAAGGTATCCCCTAAAAGGAACTACAATGGAGACTAGGTAGGGTTTAGGGCTTCAGGGTTCCACCAGTGTCAGGCTGCTATACCGGCTAATGCATAGAACCAGGGTTAGCCTAAGGGTACTAAACCCTAAACCCTAAACCCTAAACCCTAAACCCCTAAACCCTAAGAGGGTATTCTAAGGGTTCTAGCGGCAAGCCGCGCGTCCTGAGGCCTGAAGCCCTAACGCTCTAGTGGCGTAATTAGGGAGGCCACAAGTTCGCAAAATTCCCTTAACCCTAAAGCCCTAAACCCCTTGAACCCCTAAAACCCCTAAACCCTAAACCCCAATGACCAGCAAGCATCGGAGAATGGGAAGAAGTCAGCCCCGATGCTTCAACCCGACTCCCCAAAGCATTACCCTCAAACCCAAATCCCCAAACCCCAACATAAACCGATGAGCCTAAACCCGAAAGTGGCCTCCGAGTCCGGCAGAAGGATATGGCCGCCACTTCCCCGCGCCCCAGCGCGAGGTGCGTGGCTTCCAGGATGGTGATGACGATGGTGATGCGAAAGATGATGATGTGAACATATACGAATACTTGTGACTATTAACATGGGGATGATGATGATGCTGATAATGCTGAAGATGATGATGATGATGCTGAAGATGATGATGATGATGATGATGATGATGATGATGATGCTGAAGATGATGATGGTGATGATGATGATGACGATGGGTGCATCACTGCTGCTGTTGGCGATGATACTGATTGTGATAACCTGTGACGACGACGGTGATGACAGCCTTTTCACATTGCCTTTTTTGGGGTTTGCTTACTGTTTCAGATGTGTGGTCTTGTGTAGCATGTCCACAAAGTCGGGCGTGCGGCGTTTTTTTCATGACACGCACAGCAAGGTGTTCCAGAATGCAGGAATGTGTCCGTGGTATCGCGCGCGCATTGGAACCCTGGAGTTAGTTTGTAAACACACTAAACCCTAAACTCCTTAACCCTAAACCCTAAACCCCTAAACCCTAACAAATTCACCCAAATAATGTTCTCATTTGCACCGGGGCCCTTTGAAAGCAGTGAGTCACGGAATCCCGGAGGTACAACCCTGCAGCTAAGACCCGAACTGAAGGGCGTCCTCTTTGGTATGGTGGGTGGGACGGTTTAGGGTTTAGGTTTAGGGGTTAGGGTTTAGGGTTAGGGTTAAGGGTTGAGGGTTTAGGGTTCAGGTTTAGGGTTTAGAGGAACCAATGTGTTTGTAAAAAGGGATATGACCCTGAAAATTGGTACATTTCCGTACATTTCCCTTGTTTAACGTAATTTCCTTGGTTACTCTAGGTAGCCCTGGCATCGGAATACATTCTGGAACACAAGTCTCTGTCGAAGCTGCTCAACAATTGAAGCACTTCCCCTCCACCCTCGCCATGACGCCTCCACAAGTACCCAAATAGTAGGGCTTTGGGTACCAAAAACAATTCGGAGTATGGTATTTGGACCCAAGACCCTAAACCCTAAACCCTAAACCGTATTAGAGTATTTGGACCCTGAGAGTCCAGGCCAAACCGTAGCAAGACTGTGACATGGCCTTCACTCATTCCGAAAGAGCCCTGCACCCGCGGTTTAGGGTTTAGGGTTTAGGGTTTCACTGTCTGGTGCTTAGTAGGGAATGGGGGAATGGGTTATAGGGACTACTATAAGGGACCTTAAGGGACTATTATAGGGATCCATTCCCCCATTCCCCACCAGACGGATGACGCCACAAGGAAGCAAGTTCAGACACCTCCCGTGGCCAGCCCTTTGAGGGCCTCCGGCCTGTTCCTTGGCTCTATTAGGCCCGCAACCCTAAAACCCTAAACCCTCCAACCCTTAAGCCCTAACCGTAAACCGTCAAACCCTCAAACCCTTAAACCCTCAAACCCCAAATCCTCAAACCCCTAAACCCTCAGACCCCTAGACCCTCAACCCCCAACCCTCAAGCCCCTAAACCCTCAAACCCCTGACCCCTAAACCCTAAACCCTGAAGCCCCTAAGCCCCCTGTGCTTCCCAGGGCTGAGGGGCCTTGGGGGTCAAAAAGTTGCGGGTTTAGGGTTTAGGGTTTAGGGTTTAGGGTTTAGGGTTTAGGACTGGCTTGGTTTGATAGGAGATACTTGGAGGTTCATGGGTAGTTATACGTGGAGGTATAAGTCCCCTAAATATGGGTTATAATTATAGTTACCCTACTTATAACCCCACTAGTATTGGCCTCCATATTGTATTTATAGTATGGTCTACCCCAAAACCTTATTCGAATTATTAAGGCCCCTACAATCGCCGGTCTAGGGTGCAGTACGCAGATGCATCTGCAGATGCATCAAGCTGCGAGATATCCACTTCTTTCGTGGCCACAAGTCCTTGGCCCTAAACCCTAAACCCTAAACCCTAAACCCTAAACCCCTAAACCCTAAACCCTAAACCCTAAACCCTAAACTAATACTTCCAAAAAGATTGCTTTTAGGGACTGGGACCTGTTGCTTCACCCTGTGAGCTGCAATGGATTTCCCCTAAGGGTCCATGTACCCAAATAGTATATACTTTGGCCTTAATGTAGTCCCTATATAGGTACTTTAGGGCCAATGTGTATACTATTTGGGCACATGGACCCTTAGGGTTCTGGACTGAAACTAGTGGTTTTTCTGACTGAAGTATGGTGGGCTCTGTATCATAGTCTGCATTGCTTGCAGACTACGCTTCAAGCACCTGCCTTCTCCCAACTTAAGCAACCACGACTCCAAGGAACATGGAGTCCGGAATAATCAGTAGTTAACCTTACACTATTGTCTCCAAAAGGCCCGATATACTTCACTAAACCCCCTAAACCCTAAACCCCAAACCCCTAAACCCTAAACCCTAAACCCTAAACCCTAACCCCTAAACCCCTAAACCCTAAAGACAGTGATATAGCACCCAAACAATTCGATCATGTTGGCCTGCAGTCGGATATGCAGTTAGCCCCCTCAGTGGCGCGAAGATGCAACAGCCTAAACCCTATACTGCTTGTTTCAGGCATTATATAAAAATAAATAAATACATAAATAAATAGATAAATAAATAAATATATATATATATATACATGCATCATTGCCGGAAGCATCATAAAGGCACTCAAACTCGGTACTTGTATTTTGTTAATGCCCCTCAACCCTTAACTTTAAATCCTAAATCCCTAAACCCTAAAACTCTAAACCCTAAACCCTCACCTCAAAAACATGGATTTGAACATATTTTGAGCCCCAAGCACCCCTGGAACGACCAAGCTCTGCCCCTGATTGTCGCGAAGAAGATCTCGAAGCGTTCGACGAGCTCTGCCAGGCCGGTGTAGGGTGTAATGTTTCGGGTTACCCTAAACCCAAAACCCTAGGGCTTACATAGCGTTTAATGAAGGTTGACATAGCGTTTAATGAAGGTTGCGAGTTTTCGGAAAATTCGGCAGCAGGATACAGAGCTCGTGGGCTATAAGTTAGGTTGTTTGGGGCTGAGGGGTTTTAATGAACTGTTGAGTAAATTTGTAAGGTTGCATCGTTGTGAGATTTTAGGAATTATCGGGGTCCACCTTAGGGGGAAGTGGGGCAAATTCAGACGCACAGCTTCTGATTCTGCGAGGATGCCGCGGCAGTGGAACTGGCGCACCTCATCGTCGGGCCGCCAGAACCCCACACCCGCGAGGGCACGGACGAGCCGTGCCAGCGAGCAAGGACGGTTGCGCACCTGCTGTTCCTTGGAGCATTACTCCATCACTCTGTAGGGTGCTCGTGAATATCATGACACCGAGGAAGTCTAAGACGATCTAAGACGGGTTTGAGATCACTTGCCGTTCACAGGACCCTGCCCTGCTTGCAAGTTTGCTTACAACTACTCCTAAACCCTTAACCCTATGACCCTTCGAAATAATTAGGTTTTCAACCTGAAGCCATGAAACCTAAAGCTTCACTCTCTTAACCACCATACTGTGAGCTCCAAGCCGAGCCTGGAACCAATATGATAGCCCTGAATCCGAGCACTCCGTAAACCCTTTAGGGACTTTTGAGGTTTAGGTTTTTGGGGTTTAGGGGTTAGGGTTTAGGGTTTAGGGTTTAACTTATAACTATAATTATAACCCATATTAGGGGACTTATAACTCCACTTATAACTACCCATGAACCTCCAAGTAGGTTCCAGGCTATGGAATCACCATCATTGGTCAGGGAATCCAGTCGAACGTATACGACTAGGGGCCTTCACCCTCAAGCAGCAGCTATCGAATTGACGTTTCTGTCTTCGTCATCGTTGTTCTTTGTTAGATCCGGAACCCCCCACCCCTAACCTAAACCATCGCCCTAAACCCTAATATAGGGGCCTAAATAATTACCTATACTATTTTGGTGGATTCCTTTTTATAATTATAGTATAATGGGCCCCAAAACCCTATTCTAATTATTATAAGGCCCCTATATTAAACTTCTGAGGCCCCTAAGGCCCTAAACCCTGAACCCTAACTAAACCCTAAACCCTGAACCGTAAACCCTAAACCCCAAGCCCTGAACCCGAAATTCCCACCCGGCCTGCTTAGGCCGTA